TTCCTTCCTTCCTTCCTTCCTTCCTTCCTTCCTTCCTTCCTTCCTTCTTTCTCTTTTTTCTTTCTTTTTTCCTTCTTTCTTTCTTTCTTTCTTTCTTTCTTTCTTTCTTTCTTTTTTCTTTGTTTTTTTGAGGCAGGGTTTCTCTGTGTAACCGCCCTAACTGTCCTGGAACTAGCTCTTGTAGACCAGGCTGGCCTCGAACTCACATACAGAAATCTCCCAACCTCTGCCTCCTGAGTGATGGGATTAAAGGCATGTTCCACCACTATAAGGCATCATTATTGTTTCTTACATTTTATCACATGAGCTTTTCCTCTGTTTCTTTTCTCCCCCTTTTAATTCTCTTTCTATGTTTTATTACTTAGCTATTAGTACTTCTGTTTTAAAGAAATAATTGAAAAGTTAATAGAATGAAATCTAAACTTATAAGAATTTTTAGGATACAGCAACACAGTTCTAAGAAAGAAATATAGCTTAGTGCTTAAACTAAAATATCAGAAAAATCTCAAATAACTTAATGATGTGGCTCAAAGTTACAGGAAAACAAGTCAAATGCAAAGTCAAAGAATGGAAAGAATTAAATAACTGCCAAGGCATAAAATTTATTTCATAAAATAGTGACTAAAAAACTATGTGAAGAATCATTGAAACTAGGAATTGGTTCTTTGAAAAGATAAACAAGGTTGACAAAATATTAAGAAAATTAACCAAAATAAAGAGAAAATGGAATTAATAAAACTTGAGATGTAAATGAGTATATTACAGAGGATTCCAATTAAATTCAAGAGAGTCACTGGGGATCATTCAGAAAACTTAGATTTTAAATGGAAAATTTAAAATACATAGATAATTTTCTATGCACAAATAACCTATCAAAATTAAGGCATGAGCAAGTTAAAGAGAAGTACAACAAGGAACATAATTACAGCAGTAATAATGATCCTTCCAACAAAGAAAAGCCCAGGACAGGAGGGATTCTCTGCTGGATTCTTCCAAACCATTAACAGTGTTAACTGTAGGCCTCCCCAATTGTTTCATAAAATAGAAAGGAAAAGAACGCTATTAAACTCAATCTATGAAACCAATAATACACTCATACCAAAACCAGGTTAAGGGCATTGCAAAGAAACCCATCCATGAATTTCCTTGATGGACGCAGATACAAAACCCTCAATAAAATGCTAGAAAATTGAATTCAAGGGCACACTTAAAAGAATTCTCACAAACTGTGAGCCAAGAAGGTTTCATTCCAAGGATACAAGGATGGCTCAATATATGAAAATCAATAAGTCTGGTGACACATTTAAACAGATTTAAATTTAAGTAAATTTAAGGACAGAAATCATACAATCAACTCAATGGAAAGCTTTGGGAAAATTCAGTATTCATTATACGGAGACTATCTCGAAGAAACCAGTAACAACAAGACTATATCTTGAGAATTTCCATCATGTCACACTTGGGTGTGATGATGACTACAGTACCTTGCTTTCTGAGCAGCAGATCTGTCTGGAGCAATCCTGTGAAAGACGAGGATGTGTTGGGCTAGCAGGCACGAGCCAATCTGGGCACTCATGCGCATGCGCGGCCCCCTCCCTCTACCACCCGCCTTCTAACACCTTCAGTTGGCAAACTCCAGAGTCTGCCACCTCCTGTTGAGCTGCGCCTCAGAGGTGGTGACTCTGGACAGGCATCCTCCTCCACAATAATCAGCCTGCCTGCGTGTGGTCTGCCAGACAGTGCTCCGAGAAGTCCCAGGTGCCTTGGACAGCAGTAGAAACAACCTAAGCAATGGCGTCCATCCGGAAGAAACTGGTGATCGTGGGAGATGGAGCTTGTGGAAAGACATGCTTGCTCATCGTCTTCAGCAAGGACCAATTTCCTGAGGTTTACGTTCCCACAGTGTTTGAGAACTATGTGGCTGATATCGAAGTTGATGGGAAACAGGTGGAGTTGGCCCTGTGGGACACAGCTGGACAAGAAGATTATGATCGCCTGAGACCCCTCTCCTATCCGGACACTGATGTCCTCCTGTTGTGTTTCTCCATTGGCAACCCTGATAGCTTTGGAAACATCCCACAGAAATGGACTCCAGAAATCAAGCATTTCTGTCCCAACGTGCCCATCATCCTGGTTGGGAGCAAGAAGGATCTTAGGAATGACAAAAACACAAGACTAGAGTTAGCCAAGAGGAAGCAGGAGCCAGTAAAACTTGAACAAGGCAGAGATTTGGCGAACAGCATTGGCGCTTTTGGGTACGTGGAGTGTTCTGCAAAGACCAAAGATGGAGTGAGGATAGTATTTGAAATGGCCACAAGGGCTGCTCTGCAAACGAATCGCGGGAAGAAAAAGCCTGCGTGTTTCATCTTGTGAAGCCTTAGTGCAAGCACAGCCCTGGTGCAGTTAATTTTCAAGTGCTATTTCGTGATCTTATTGTGTAGTTGCTAACCTTCTGTTTACGTATATGTCCGAGACTAAAAATCATAAGTCATCTTGCTACCAGTGCTTAGAAGGCAACCATGATTACTAATGATGTCCAATCTGCCTGACCTGCCAGGATCCTAACTCTAACAGACCTGAAACATCGGGCACTAGTTGAAGAATGTATCATTTCTAGAAAAAGAAATGGTAGCTTTATTATTAGACTGTAAGTACTTTCTGACATGGCCAACCTATCATTTGTCTGCTGCGAAGAATTCTGAGTCACCAGACTTTACTCCACAACAACTTTGATTGCCATCTTTATTTTTGATGAAACGTTTCCCCATGCAGCTGTGGTAGAGTAGGCGATCTGTGATTTCTTGCTAGTTACTTTATAGTTGCTATGTAGTTAGTGCACCTTGATGGATGTTACCAGGAATAAGAACATCTACCCCAGACTAGATGTAGCATTTTTGGTATAATTGGATTCCCCAATACCAGTATCTGCCATTTCCACAGCAAGTGGTTGAAAGAAAGAATTTGGAAATAAAGTCATATGGAAAATTAATTTTTAAAATTTTCGTTTTTCCTTTCTCTGATACAATATACCCATTCTCCTTTTAAACCCTTCACAACTAGTACATCTTTCCAGAACTGGGCTAAGTAAATAGAAATCAGGTTTCATACCTAAGGCAATAAGCCCTAGAAAGAGGGAGGCATAGCCTTTCTCACTGGTCTGCAGGGTCTGGATCTAAGTCACAGTGCCTCCCAGAGGAGCTACCTGTTCTTATGAATGGCATGGAGTGTAAAGGTGGTCTTTGTCTCCAAGATGACTGAATTTTTTTTCTATATGAGTTAATTTTTCCTACCAAAAGAGTAAATGCAATATCTTAAGTGTATGTGTGCAAGTATGTGTGTATGTGTGGGGGAGGTGGAAGCTGTATAGCCAACATTTCACTCAATGCATTCTCATTGAAATAGGAAATAAAACAAGGTTTTCCATCTCCTCCATTCTTATTCAGTATAGTGTTCTAAGTTTTAGGGCAATAGGCAAAACATAGCATCAGCACACAATGCTCATTAGATTCAAGTCAGGGGATGGTCCAGTGGGTAGAACTTACCATATGAGCCTGGGTGCTCCATTAAAATGCTGGATGTAGTGGTGAGCATCTCAAATTCCTGCACTGTTATGGTCATGTCGGACAAGGAGAGAAGAGGATCTGCTGGAAGCTTGTGGGTCAGCCAGCCTGGCATGTGCAGTGCTACAAAAGCAATGAAAAGCCTGGCCTCAACGAGGTGCAAGGCAGGAGCTAACTCCTCTCACTCCAGATTTGCACCATTGCACTCAGACACCCATATTCATACACATACAAACACATGCTTTAAAAATTAATACTTTCTTCTACCATGACTACTATGGCAGAAAGTTTGACAGTGGGCAGACAGGCAGGCACGGTGCTGTGGCAGTAACTGAGAGCTTACAACTGATCCAATAAGCAGGAGGCAGAGAGGTCTAACAAATACTGTAAACTTGTGAAACCTCAAAGCCCACCTCCAGTGACATACTTTCCACAAGGCCACACCTCATAATCCTTATCAAACAGTTCTACAAATCTGGGGACCAAACATTCAGACCTTTAATGTGTTAGTCACCATAGGAAGTAAAAAACCTTTAATGAAAACTTTTAAACATTTAAAGAAAATGCTAGAAATTGTATTCCAATTCCAAGCTCACTCCAGGTTGTCAGAGTTGATAATTTAAATGATTACATGACAGAAACAATGTATAAATTCCATCCAATGCTCATCAAAATTTTAATGACATTCTTCAAATAGCTAGAATTCACAACCGAAAAATATCCATGTGGAAGCACAAAAGATGGTGAGAAACCAAAAGAGCAGCTATCACAACACCTGATTTTAAACTATGCCCCAGAGCCATTGTAACAAGTATAATGCTAAAAAAAAAGGGTATATTGATGAGAGGAATAGAAGGGAGGAGGATCCAGAAATAAACCGAAGTAATTAATCTCATTCCCAACAAAAGTGCTCCAAAGCATATGTGGTGCAAAGACAGCCTCTTCAACTATTTGTTCTGGAAAAAAAAATAAGTATTCATATGAAGAAAAATGAAGCTAGACCTGTAAAGTTTTACTCTCTGAGGCAAATAAAACAAAACAACAAAAAAGAAAAAAAAAACAATTCAAAAGTAAGTCCTTAATGTAAGACCTGAAACTTAGAAACTTGTAGAGGAAAACAGAGGAAACACTCTAAGATACAGGCAGAGATAAGTTTCTGAAAAAAATATTTCAATACCACAGTCAACAATTCAAAAACTGACAAATAAGATTACATGGTAGCCTGGCACTAGGGAAATTGCCTAAGAAATAATGAAGAGGGTACCTGAATTGGCTTTCCCCTGTAATCAAATTGGTGACTACCTTAATTGTCATCATAGACTCTTCATCCAGCAACTGATGGAAGCAAATGCAGAGAGCCCCAGCTAAGCACTGGGCCGAGCTCCCAGAGTCCAGTCAAAGAGAAGGAGGATCAATATTATGAGCAAAGGGGTGAAGACCATTATAGGGATACCCACAGTAACAATTGACCTGAATTAGTGAGAGTTCACTGACTCTGGACTAACAGCAGGGAAGCCTGCATAGGCCCAAACTTGGCCCTGTGAATGTGGGTCACAGTTGTGTGGCTGGTGCACTCTGTGGGACCACTGGGAGTGGGACCAAAATGTATCCTTGGTGCTTGAACTGGCATTTTGAAGTCCATGCTCTTTGGAGGGACACCTTGCTCAGCTTAGATATCTTGGGGAGGACCTTGGTCCTGCCTCAAAGTGGTGTGCCAGATTTTGTTGACTCCCAATGGGAAGCCTTACCTTCTCTGAGGAGTGGATGGAGTGTGGGGTGGGTGGAGGGTGAAAGGTGGAGGAAGTGGGAAGAGTGGAGGAAAAGGGAACTAAGATTGGAAAGTAAAATGAGAAAAGATTGGTTTTTAAAAAGTAAATAAAAAATTGAAAAATTCATAAAAAAGAGTACATGGTTGCAAAATTTTGCATAGCACAGCAAACAATAAGCATAGTGGTGAGATAGCCTACAGAGTAAGAGAAAATCTGCAACTATGGTGTTGAAGGGATTAATATTTTGACTTCCTAGCAAACGAAACACTTGAAAAAACAAAAATTTCAATTCTCAAATGTGCAAACTGAGCATGTGGTTCTCAAAACCAAGTACAAAAAAGCAGTAAATATAAGAGAAAATGTGCTCAGTACCTTTAACTATGAGGGAAATGTAAGTTAAAGCTATTTTAAGATTCAATACTACCCCAAGAAGAATGGCTATCATCAAGAAAATATAATAAATGCTGGTAAAGATGTAGGAAAGGAGAAAGTCTCATACACTGTTGACAGAAATGGAGATTATTGCAGCTGCTATGGTAATAAATGTGCATTTTCCTAACAAACCACACACACACACACACACACACACACAAAGAAAACCCTAACAGTTGGAACTATAATATGATTCACCTGCCTTTCCTGGCTATATACTCAAATAAGTCTCTAAGTCGGTTACTATTCTTGGTCACATACATGAGAATTGTCCGAGCATTTACAATTAATTTAAAGCTTCTTTGTGGTTGTTTGGGAGCAGCTGGTAGGACACAGAAACTTCTTTCTACATATGAGTGATGAAGTCAACATAATACAGAAATATTTGCACGTTCATGTTTGTTCATAACGTCCAAGCAAAGGGATCAGATAAAGGAAATGTATGAATATTCAATGGAGCTTTATTGATCCTCAAAGAAGATAAGAATGAAATTATGTCATTTGCAGGAAACAGATGCAACTGAATATATAATTTATGTCTTTGGCTTTGGGGTTACCCAGCATATATGTTGAAAAACATCGTGAAGTGACTTGTGTAACTTTTCTTGTAATAAGACTGAAAATGTCTACCCAATACTCTTGTAGACTTAGCGCAAGAGCTTTCCACAGAGAAGGCTGAAACCAGATTTCTTTCAGCAGAGTGGGAAAAGATATGGGCAAAGAGAGAGAACTCAGGCAAGAATATTCAGTTTGCAAATAGAAGAGAGAAGAAATAATGAAGTCCAGGCTTTCCCTGTTCTTGCCATTGCAGTGCAAACACCAGAGATTGTCAGATTAGGTGCAAAGGAATCCTATCCTGATAAATAAACTGTATTCTCTGGGAATACATTTGTTGTGTATCATGGGGACCACCACCAACTTCAACTTTTCAAATACCCCAAATATGTAAATGTAAGTAAATGTATATAATAAATATAGCATAACTACAACCTGGCAACAGCATTAGATCACATATGTGGAGGCCCAGGATCAGGGCCCTATTGCTTAGAATACACTCACTGCTAGCGAAACACGGAGACATGACTGCAATAGTGACACGTTCATTTTATTTTTAAATAAACCTATCTTATTTTTTAAAGTATTTAGATGGTTGATAAAACATTTTATCTATGACAATGTTTGACAGAGGACAAATAGGAGGATTAAATGCCTGAGATCTCAGGAAGCCTTGGTTGGAGGACCATTTCCTAGACATAACCCTCTGTAAAATGTGACTCTTTACTCATTTTGAAAGGGAAAAATATGCTCAAAAGTTGTATTTCCCTAACATACTTCACATCAAATTCCTGTTTTCCATAGGTTGATTTTGAATTTCCATTATTTCTAACATTATTTTATTAGTAGTTAAGTTTTCTTGAAGATAAATGTTATCCTTGCTACTGGTTCAGGAAGGTATGGGACTCAGCATCTTCAAAGAAATTAGAGTTAGTTGAAGGTCTGCGCTCTGTATTTTCTGAACCTTTGAAGAAGATAAAACTTAATAAGACTCCATTATGAATATTTGGCCATTTATCTCTTTACCAAAGCAATTCTGTTTTTTTCTTCTGATTTTTGAGACAAGGTTTCTTTGTAGCTTTGGAGTCTCTCCTGGAACTAGTTCTTATAGATCAGGTTGGCCTTGAACTCACAGAGACCTGCCTGATTCTGTGTCCAGAGTGCTTGGATTAAAGGCACGTGCCACCACTGCCCATATACTTCTTTTCAATTTCTAAGGTGTCATCTCTACTGCATGTATTAATTCTCTCTACCCACTATGAAAGAGATGCTTGTCTTGGTCTTGACATAGAAGTATTTGTTGGTCAACACTGTGAAGACAATAAATAGGGATCAAAAAATGTGTCATATAGACCATACAGAAATTTGACTTTCTCAAGTTAATCATTGTTCACAAGTGATAAAATACAACAGTGACCGATTATCCTCCTGATGATACAGTCTGGAATTTCAGTGTCCTGGGAAATGTTATTCAGTCTTGTTCAACGATTACTAAGTTCCTGCATGCTATGATGCAACTCAGATGAACACTTGATATACTCAGATTTTCTGGGGCAAAGTCTGAATCACAGGCATCTCAGAAATCATGAATTATCTGGTTTCCTGCTGTGATAGTGTCTCATCATACATTGTGCAACAAGCTCAGTTCCCAGGTATACAATGAGGGCTAACTC